AACACTTCAAATAAAACACAGGAGAAGAGGGCAATGTGGAGCTTTAAAATCACTTAAATCACTATTTCTGAACCTTTTTAGATTGTAAACCCTTAAAACGCAGTATTTTCTGCTGCAGATTAATACACGAGTACTGGGGCAGCAAGACAGTGTGTGTGGGACTGAGGCTAAATAAACTACAGTGTGTGTGTTCATGGTGATGAAGGACATGCCACCTGGTGAAACAGTGTGGCTCAGTGATGTGTTTTTAATAGTTAATAGTTTTTGGACAACAACAGAGCTCTGTGATACAGAGGGATAAGATATATTACAACCAGTTCTTCTTAGAAGGGTGAATTATCAATATTGCTGATTTCATGACTGACTGGCTGAGTGTTTTAGTAGTAAAATGCAAACTGAAACACAAACACACACATGTACATTCAGTGGTTTATGAAAACAATTTGCCACTGCAGTATATACTCTACGGTGGCAGAATAAGGTTTTCAACTTGTGTGTGTTTGTGTGTGCAGAGGAGAGCTGTGCAGTCATCTGAAGATTCAATACGTCTTCTTGGCATGAGGTGTGTAAGGGGAGGGGTATAGACATATTGCTATTATTGTGTGTGTCAGTCATGACTGTGACATGAGACACGAGACAAGACGAGACTTTCTCAGCCGCTGCATTCACCAACACAGACCTGTCACAAAGAATGACATTATTGTAAACCTCAAATACTTTGAAATCCTCTCTGACATCCAGTTCTCTGAAGAAATGCCTCCTGACAAGATAGAAGAAAACAACAATCCAGCATATTCTGCCATGCTCCATCAGATCTTCTGCTGCAGATGTGTTTCTTCTTAGTATTCACTGCACAGTGGTGCAGAGCACAAAGTATTTGGTGCCTGATAACAGAACAGTACTCAAATGACGCTCTTTGCAAGACAGGTGTCCGATTTAACATCATCCCAGAGAATGGTTAGAATTAGAAACACGTTTTCAGTTTTTGGGTCCTCAAATAACACCTTGTTTATCTGTGTCCATTTCCTGAGAATCAATCACTAATCCCACATCAGGTCAAAGTTGTGCAGAGCAGTTGAATTAGGATTATAATGGGAAACAGGAATCTTTTAAGAGGAAAAAGCATTGGAATGCGTCCAGATTTTTCAACACCCCCCTCCTGAGGTCATGTTTTGGTCTGTGCTGTTTGTAGCTGGTAGACAGACTCTGTTTTGAGTGGGACTGGTGCAGCCACGGCATCTCCCACTCCACATCAGGGTTAGACAATGCCTCGCAAACATTAGGAGGGGGTTACTTGGACCACAGGAACACTTACATAACAACTCAGCAGTTACATATACACTTATTTTTGTTTCTTCTCCAACCCAGTAAGATCCTGCTTGTTTATGGAAATGGCCTGTCCCTGCTGGTGCTATATGACTGTCCATGAGGCCATGTGAACACGTGAGCAGGATTTACGTATTCCTGCATCTGTGATGAAGGTTTTATTCTGTCATAAATCCCTGTATGTGGTGGTGTGTGTGTGTGTGTGTGTGTGTGATGGAGCCACGCTCTGGTAATCTTGTTGAGTCAGGGATGTCCAGGCTTTCCTCATGTCAAATGCAGCGGATCTTATTTCAATATCAGGCCTGAGTTGTCCAGAAACACATCTGATTCACATACATCAGCGAAGAGGCCAGTTCATAATTTCTGTTCAGTCAGTTCAAAATGCAAAGTGAATTGATTCAGATGCTCAAGAGCCATATATACAGTACAGTAGACAATTTTTCACACATATTACAACGTTAGTCCTTTTTCGTGAAGTGTCTGCATCATTTTGCATATACTGTATATTCTGATCTGGTTTCAGCAGAGAAGGGTTCTGATACTTTAGGTTTGTATTGGACTGAATGGGATTTAAGCTATCTGAACCACTATTGTTCTCACTGGAATGTGACAGATTGAAAAAAAAAATAAACAAAACAAAAGTCTAAACAAAAAGAACAAAAGTGGAAACTTTTAAATTATTTTATACCAAGATAAAGTTGAGAATATACCATCATGCAAGCCAGAATACTGAAACTTGAAAAAAGATGTTTTTGTCTTAGATTTAAATTTAAAGTGTTAAAACATATTGGACATCCTGTAACAATTATATGTTCCTTGTATCTATAACTACAGATAAGATAAAATTATGTTTTCAAGGTCCCATATAGTCTAAAGGTAGATGTCCATGTGTTGTTTGATGAAAATTATAAAGCAGGTCTAGGTTCTATATTAATACTGTGAAAGTATCAAAGCCTCAGTCCACAGAGAAATGCACACAGCCTGTATTCAGAAACTGAGCCTTAAAACCAGCCGTCAGGACTTCTGTAACTTTGTGATGTCACACCAAAGCAGTCACCACGCATCCCCCAAGCCCCGCCCACCTGGACCCACCTTGCAGGGGTTGTTTACCTGAAATGTGCTATTTTTTATTGGACCACTCATTGGATCATTTTTATTGGATCACTCAGAAAACAGTCAACCTGTCGTTACTAGAGCTCCACAGAGAAGCCTGAGAGAGGAGATGTAAAACTACACTGAGATGGTTTTTATTTCTTAAAACCATAAATGTATCTTCTTATGGATATCAAAACTTCTAATTGTAAAATATGGGACCTTTTAATACAAGTAAAGTTATATATACTTGAATTAAGTTTAACAGATGTGCATAGTCTAGATTATCCAATCCATACCCAAAATAGTCTAGAATTTATGTCTAAACATAAGATTATCTCCCTTATTACAAAAGGCAATTGTTTGTGGGTTTTCCCGACTGTATTTGAATCAGCCTCAGTTTTGTTCTTTTTGTCACTTTGATAGATGATGCAGAGGAAGTTGTTAGTGGGTGCAGTGGTTTGAGGGCAGAGAGCATGTTGAAGTAAAGAAGTGAAGAACAGAAATAAGTGCAAGCGTACCACTCAAAGCAGGTGTTTTTAAAACTGTGAGGCAAAAATACTGCATGAGATAAAAGTGACAGGTGGAGAGGAGGTTAGTTGTAGTTTGACCTGCTCATCACCAACATGTTCAACAGTGTGGTTGCAGAAACAGCAGCCATGACTTTGACACATAGTTCATGGAGCCAAGTAAGGTACTTTAAAATCATTATCGTAAAAAAGCCACAGTTTGCATCAAAAACGGCCTAACAGAGAGAGAGCCAAAACTCAGTCAAATCTCATACACATTTTTGACCTCCTTTTAACCCTAGAACTTACATGAGAATCATCACGTTTTTAAGTTTTCTTCAGTATCATTCAGTAAGTAATCCACTGATAACTGTACTGCATTTTTCTACATTCCAAGTATATTTTAGAATATATTTTAGAATATATGCAAAAATTATAAAAAGGGTGTTCAAGTTGAAAAAAGTCCATGCACCTATTGTCAGTTGTTTTAATATTTTGTTTTTTGTACAGATTACATAAAAGAAATACAGTAACATATAAGCTTTAGAGGTGCTTGAAGGTAAACATCTTTTTTCTACCTTTGGACAGAGCCAAGCTAGCTTTTTCCCCTGTTTCCAGCCTTCATGCTAAGGTAAACTAACGGATGCTGGTATTAGCTTTATATTTTAGGTTCCAACATGTGAAACAGTTCCAGTAAGACAAGCTGCATCATTTGAATTGGAGTGATGTCTCGATCGTGGGTTTTCAGTGTTGCTAGTTTGAATGCTATTAACTTTACAGTCCAAACTTTTTCATTAATTACAGTGACACAAACAGTGTACGCCACACACTGAGGCCTGCAGAGGAGGCAATGGTTTCAAAGCATCACTGAACAGCTCAGCTTTTGAGATGTATACGCACTTAAAATGCCAAAGATATCAGGGCTTAGCTCAGACTACAGCCCACATAGTTTTCCAGTGACTGCGCTAGGCACATATTAGCTGAATATTATCAAACCAAAAAAAAAAAAACAGCTTCTCAGCTCATCTAAAACCAGCTGCCTTTGGCTAGATTCTGAAGTCACATGTCATTCTTCCTTTAAAAACAAGATGGCTCTGGTTGAGACTCTGACAGCACTCCCCAGACAGTTCCCAAACTGGTATTTGTTGATTGAGGAGCTTCCTGGGAGGCAGATACAGCTGCCTGTCTCCCTTCTCTGTTTTTACTGAGGCAGCCTGTACTGACAGAAACCAGAGATGTGCGTGTGCGTGTGTGTGTGTGAGAGAGTGTTATTAGGATGATTTAAACATTTCTCTTTCCAAGTGTCTCATAGAGATAATGGATTTCAAATGAGGTATTTTCATACTTTCACTCTTCTCCACAGGGGGTATATCTGTTTGTACCCGCAACAAGAACATATAGACTTTAATTAAGTGTTTCATCATTCAAAAAAGTAAATAGGACATTGTGTTTACTCCTTACCGTTCACTCCTTACGAGTTCTGAAAATAGAATGAGTCCTTCCTCACATACATTTCCTCTTTCATTAGAAAGGTTGTCAGAGAAGAAAGGACGAGGAGAAATGGTTGTACAGGGTTATTTGTGTTGTTGACAGGGTCTTTGACAGCAAACAACCCCCCTTGTGACTAATGCTTGTTCAGTCATTTGTTGATTGCAACTCACGGTATGTAATCATTGCTGTTGTTGTGTGTGAGCAATTTCGTAGCTGACTGATTTTTCTCTCTCTCCCTCTTTCCCCATCTTCAGGTTCCAATCGCCATTGGGTAACATGGAGTAAGAGTGGCTTGTCGTTGAATATCTTCAACTTTAACTTGTGTTATGATGCGAGGACCAGAAGGGCTGATAGTGGGGGCCTCTGTGTGGAAGGCTCCCATGTATTTCCAGTAATGACAACCTCTTCAAACTAACTCTCACTGTTCAAACATGAGGATTTAAGTTGAGTCAACGAGGGACAAATCAGCAAAATGCTTCATCACATCGACAAGCAGCCCAGTCAATAAGAAGCTCCCACTCATCCCTCAGTCTCATCAACTGTTTTCGCTTCTCGTGGCTGTCTCCTCATCAGACACACAACATGCGCCCTTCACTCGCTACTGCAGTCCTACCACCCAGGACCCGTTCCCACAATCCTCCCAACCTGGCTGTGGGGGGCCGTGAACACTTGTCAGCTCCAAGAAGGCGCAGCCCGCACCTCCGGCACACCCTCAGCCCAGAAAACCTGCGGACCTTGGCGGAGAGGGGCGGGGCCGCTGTCGATACCGTCTCTGTCGTCAGCAGTCCCATAGGGCTTCCACGGGCTAACAGCGACACAGACCTGGTGACCTCCCAGAGCCGGTCCTCGCTAACAGCGTCAACTCTGGAGTACACACTGAACCGTGGTCAGAACCTTGTCATATCCTGGGACATCAAGGAGGAAGTGGATGCTACCGACTGGATCGGCCTGTACCACATTGGTTAGATTATTTTTTATATATATAGTTGCTGGTAGAGCTGCTTTTAATTCTACTGGGGCAGGTCAAGGTCAAAATCTCAAGTGTGATTTCATGTCAAGAGTCAAGTCCTTGAGGACTGGTTCAAGTCCAGTAACAGGTCATCATAAGTAAGTGCAAGTCAAGATGAAATTCTTGAGTGTGGACTTTAAAATGACACAGCATTTCAACAGTTTTCAAATATGTGCTAATGGCATTTATTGCACAGCTGATATCCATGAATAGTCCTAATAGTAACTATGTAAGGTATGTGGCTATACGAGGCATGCCTGTTGCTGTCCTGTTAATGTTTTAATGTACTGAAACCCCTGCCAAAGCACTTAAAACCACTAGAGTGCTTGTCTCCAGGACCACATTTTGCTACATTTTGTGTTCACATGGAAATGGATCCATCTCCTTGACAACTGAGCCAACTTAATCTGGTTAATTAGTTGAAAACACTGTGGACACTGACTCGGGATCATTTTGTTAAATAGCTATTTTCAAGGTCAAGTTTTTACATTCTTATTCAAAATTGGCACTAACAACATCTCATTGGTCAGTATATTCTGTGTCAAAGACCTTTTTCCACAGCAGACATTTTGATTGTCATAGTAGGAAAGCACAAGTGGAATTAATAATGTTAACAAAGGCCTAGTTCTGTTCAAGTTACCCAGTGAGCCTCGGTGTGACAGTGGGCCAGCAATACCAGGACCCTGAAACTGAAGCAGCTAAATGGAATTCATCCATCATTCATTTTATTATTTACACCTGTGAATTTCCTACTGTGACATGTCACAAAGTGAGAAATGCCTGCTTCTTGTTAAGTTCTGATTGGTTGGTTTGTTGACGTGGGTCACTGCCACCATCACATAGTGAGAATTTGAGCCATTTTCAAGACTGCCTCTGATCAATGAAGGTTTAAATCAGCTGTTGGCAGTTGTGTTTCACAGTGTGATCTAGGACCACCATTTTGCTTTAAGTAAGATTTAATCATGTCCTCTCATGATTGTCAGCTGTTGTTTGTGTATCGAGGTCTTAAAGTCAACATTCAGAGCAGTCAAACCCAAGTTAAATCTCAACATCTCACTTATGTCTGGCTCAAGTCCGAGTCTCAAATCTACAAGTCTGATTGATAGTATATATTACAACAGATAAATATTATTATATATGATAGTAAATTCTTTACGTTTTCACATATATGATCAGAATCAGCAGAGCAAACAGAAACAAACAACACAATCTCAGTGATTTTCTTACTCTACCTCTGTACTGTTATCTTTGCTTTCTCTCCAAAATCTTTTTGCTGAACTATTTTGGAAACTTGCTGGCACTCGGGACCAGAGCTGACTTGACCCTACCTGTCCTCAAAGCTTATCAGCTGATCCCGGTGTTTTATTATTGGAAGCCGAGAATAGCCAGGTAGAGTCTTGTGCAGGAGCTTCCATCTCCGAGTCAATACTGAAACTGGAGCTGTTGAGACTTTACACAGGACTGGAAGCTGAGTCAACACGTAACAGCTCTGCCTCGGTGTACGATAACACACACACCATCACAAACTATGCATGTCTTGGTGGCAAGCAGGGTGGTCTCCAGTAAATTATGCTCATCCTGCTTAGAGACAGGAATTTGACAGGGGAGAAATTCATTGACCTGTGTGCTGAAGAAGGTTATCAGTCTCAGACTGTCTGACAGATCTGTCCATCATGGTGAAAAGTAATACAGGAGCAACTGTGTTCCACCGGCACATTTGTTTTTAAGAATTATGAATTCTATGCAGTTTTGCTCACAGAGCGAAGAGCTGACATCCTGACGTCGCCTTCAGCTCGCTCGCTGTTCCATTAGCTTCTCTCATTCAGCATTTTTTTCAATGTATTTTTGACAATATTAAGACAAATGAGTGTCTACTACAGACTACCTTGCTTTTACAACCTGAAACCATAGACTGTAAATAAAGATGGACGTAGCCTCTGTGACATCACCCACTGGTTTCTGAGGAACGGCTTTGAAGCTCAGGGTGAGCTCCTCGGAGTGAGCTGCCCATCGTTGCCATCTTAGCAGTGTCTGACTCCGCCCCTAACTCCCAGCTAATCCAAAAATGGGCAGAAAGGTGGGGCATGTGTGGAGTTGAGACTCCGGTGCATGCTGCTTTGTAGCAAGCATGCTCACCCACCTGCCACTAGTGACCATAACAGTTTTTTGTACTAGGCTGTAAACATGTTTATTTCAGCTGTAAAGTTGGACATTTTAACATGGGAATCTGTGGGGATTGACTCGCTGTTGGAGCCAGACTCTAGTGGTCATTAGAGGAACTGCAGTTTGTGTCACCTCCGTGTTGACTTCATTTTTCAGCCCCAGAGTTTGCCTCTTGCCTGAAATCTTAGTTAAGTTAAATGATTAATTTGTTAGATGACAAAATAAATACATATCCCATGAAAATTTAACGGCATGGCAGTGCACTGCATCGCAACTTGTTTTTTCCAAATCCGTAATATTCACCCACACTCTCTTTTAATTAAATTTTTCCAACTCTTCAGCTCTGTGTCGCCTGTTCAAAAAAATACCCATCAACACCCCGTCAGTCGTCGGTCCTGCTGTTATTACAGACATGTCTGAACCAGCCACCGTCCCTCGACTCACTCATGACTTTAAATCTGTGATGGTCTGGGGTTAATGGGAAATGATGTTTGTTAAAGGCAACCAAAAACTGAAATATTAAAGGGGCACTCCAGCGATTTTACACTTAAAGGTCAGTTTATTACATCTCTGATGATGTAAAGAAAAAAAAAAGACATGAATTTTCACTAGACAGGGAGGGTCAAACGAAATGATGCTACTGGTGGCATTATGGGAAATGTAGAATCCAGTGTAACCTTTACTAGGGTGTTTAATGCTTCAATTTTGACCATTGTCACATTTCTGTGATACAGACTGAAACAGGAACTGCATGAAAATCAATTATTTAAAAAAAAATCAGCATCAAGCTTTTTCTAACGTAATTGTTTTAACGGCTGAATTAAAGTTATTGATCCAGTCTGACAAAATCTGAAAACAATTAAATGAGAGGACATCACTGCAGAGTCCATAAGTTTGCCTTTTCATTATGACATGAAAGTTGTGTCTTGACACCAGGTCATTACTGGTATAATACAGTAATGTTCAGGGAAAGTTGCAGCCTGTGAGCTGTCCCTCATGATCTGTTGTGTGAGTAATGTTCTTTGACTTCTGAGAGGTCAGAGAAACCCACAGTACAACACACAGCAGGAGATTCTGGGCACCATGCGGTTAACAAGTTCAAATGTAAACTTAAACTACATTCTTTTAAAGAATGTAGTTTAAGTTTACATTTGAACTTTTCTACTGAACTTTTCTTTTATAAAATATAAAAGAATGTAGTTTAATATAAAATATAAAAGAATGTAGTTTAAGTTTACATTTGAACTTGTTTACCAAATGATTAGTTACATTTCTGATGACCTCCAGGACTTAACCCGTCTGGATTAGTTTCCCTTGTGGATGGGATGCTATGTGGGGGAGAGAGATAGTGTAAACCGCTGGTGCCGGGCGAGGCGTCAGGTCACTTCATATCGATCATAAGGCTGCCACGACTTCATTATCTGCTCCAGGGTCTTATACCCCAGAGGGGCTACCACTTTCCTCGACTAAGCAGACACTCAATGATAAGCAACCTGCCCTCCCCTCCTCCACTCCACTTCAAACACAAAAGCAAACACACACACACACACACACACTCATGCACACACACACCTACACAGTATGCAGTCCTCTCTTGAAACTCTCCACCAGTCAGCTGAGTTTGGTGCTTCATTAATCTGTGTGCGAAAGTGCTACGTACAGCGGAATTCCCCCTCCCTGTTTTTAACTCGGAGGAAGTTTGGTGTTTGTCCTTCTGGTTAGAGGTTGTAGGGAGGTTATTTTGGGAATGGATTTCACTGATTAAAGAAAGACACTGCAGACTAAACTGACTGAAAGGCGGAACAGATGCAGCTTGGTTGCGGTTTTTTGTAGCAGAGTCCGGAGCCTAAGCACTGTCATCTGCTGTTTGATTTAACATTCTTTGGGTTTAAATGTCATAACAGCAAGAGCATGATTTGTCTAACTGCAGAATTAACACAAACTCACGTCTAACCAACAGTCCTGCTTTTTTCCAGATGAAACCAGTCCGTCTAACGTGTGGGACTGTAAGAACAGAGGGGTGAATGGCACCCAGAAAGGACAGATTGTTTGGAGGCTGGAGGCTGGGCCCTACTTTATGGAGCGTAAGTTCATACTTAATGATACAATCAAAAATAAATCCTTGAACTATACTGTAAAATATTTTATCATCCAGAATGTGAATGTTTTTTTCTGGTATACAAGTTTATGCGGGTTTAAAGTTTCATGTACGCTTTCATATATGCAACCATTCTTATGCTCATATAATTTAATGATAATTTCAGTATGTTAACCTTATATAATCTCACTATATGTTAGAGCTTTAAAGATCAATATATATGACACATTCAAAACACTATTCTGCAGCCAATAATAGACAGAGACTGTTTGTTTCCTTATCCCTGAACTCTTCACTGCTTCCTCTGCAGCTGAGACCAAGATCTGTTTCAAGTACTACCACGGAGTGAGTGGAGCCCTGCGAGCTACAACCCCCTGCATCACCGTGAAGAATCCAGCCGTCCTGGTCTGTGGCCCCGTTCACACTTGCTGTTAACATGCGTCTCGGGTAATCCGGTCACAAGTGGACAGCTCTAAGCTCGTCAGTTCAAAGCAGGCATTAGACTGTGTCTCCACAGTGATCACTTGTGATCGGATCCTCGCTCTAAATGCAAATAAACATGTACATCAGACTAGATGCATTGTTGTTTTTAGCCATACCCAGTATGACAGACGAGTATGTCAATGTGTTTGTGATTGTGAGGGAGAGAGAGAGAGAGAGAGAGAGAGAGAGAGAGGGAGGGAGAGAGGGCAAGGAGGGACAGAGCAAATGACTGAAATAAGGTTTTAACCATTTGAAATAGTAAAAAAAAATAATAATAATAGAGAATCAATATGTGGTGGTCAGTGTTTATATTGTGGTGGGCCACTACAAATAAATTCATATATAGGAAACAGAAGTGTACAAATATGTTCTGTGCATTATGAAACTGTGTTGGGACTAATCAGACTGTGGCAGAGGACGTCAGTAGAGTAGTGGGTCCTTCAATGTGGCCCAGAACAACTTTTGCATTAACACTGCTAAAGGAATGTGGCCACATGTGGCTCAGACCACCTCCACATGTGGTCTGAGTGATCGCATCTCAAATGTGTCCCCAGTGAATCTTGGATGCGTTCACAACTGAACTTAGAGCTGACCACCTGCATGTGTGTTTAAGAGAGAGAGAGAGAGGAGAGAGGGAGATACTCTGTCTGTCTGAGATTCAGTCATGCACAGTCTCAAGCTTTAGCCCAGCTGTAGCATTATGGGTAATTGAGTATTTTTTTGACAAGCTGCTTGAAAGTGATATTGATTCTTACATATAACAGTGGTGCTCAGTGTTCAGTGTTTTTGAATGGACCAAAAATCAGGGCTGAATTAATCCATTAAGCAGAGCTCAAGTTTCTACCAGTTGATGTTTGAACTGAAATTAATATAAAACCAGTGACTGTCTGGTTGGCTGGACACCGGTCTGAAAATGGACAGTATCCTTTAAAAAGTGGCCAGTATTCATCTGAAGTTCATATGTACACAAAGGAGCCTCACAGTAGTTCAGGCAGGCAAGTGAGCCATTATATGTCGTACCATGTTTCATACAGTCCAGGTGATTGATGACCATATACCGACATATGACAGAATCAATCTCTGACACTTGGTCGTCCATATGAGAAATGTAATTTTTCTCTGCTACATCGACAGTGAGCAGTGTATCCTTGCTGCTGCAGCGCTGCCTGCTCACACTGAATCTAATTCCCTCCGCCACCCAGGTTGTCATGTGTATTAGTATTTAGATTTATGTGAATTCAGTAGGACAGGCATAGGTGTGTGTCTGTGTGTGGTCCCTAGAATACAAATTTGTCCTCTGTGTTTTTATCCTGTGGTGTGCAGAGCGTGACACTGTCTCCTCTCTCCCAGGTGGAGGGGCTGGCAGAGCAGGTGGGCATTGAACATCCTCGGAAACTGATCAGCTTTACTTTGACGGGTGAGTTGAGAAGTTTAAATGTTTTTTTTTTTTTTATATGGGAAGACATTTTGACTGATTATAAAGTGCATATTTAAGTGTCTCACTGCTATTCAGATAGTTCTTGTAATCATTCTCAATAACAAATCAGAGCTAATCTTGAAGAGGAGTCAATAACTTCAAGTAAATTTAACAAAGCCCTCCAAAAAACAGACCAGACTTTTGGATTTAATCTTATCTTCATCTTTGTCTAACAGCTTCCTTTGGGGAAAGCCAGAGTAAACTCTCAAAGCTGTTCAGGAAACACAGTGGTATTGGAATTTAAAGAGGTGTTTTTCTGACAGAGAAAGACAAAGAATGTTATCAGTTTTCTGTTGAAGTCGGAAAAAATCAGATTTAATTTAATGAGTTTACAAGAACAAAAACTCCTTTTGCATCTTGCTCACCCAAAACCACTTTGCTCTGTTGACCGTCATGTATCAGCAGGTCAGATTTTGTAACAGAAGGCAGAGAAAAAAGAACCAGTCCCTCTTTTCCCTCGCCTACATATTTGGCCCTTTGGTCATAAATTTGGCCCTCTGGTTATGAGACTGGTGTCTGATGTTTCGTTGCAGATTTGCGTGCTACTGGCCTGAAGAAGGGCATGTTTTTTAATCCGGACCCTTACCTGAAGATGTCCATCCACCCAGGGAAGAGGAGCGTCTTCCCCATCTTCAGTCATCACGGACAGGAACGAAGATCAGCCATCATTGCTAACACCACCAACCCCATCTGGCATGGAGAGGTGCTTTACACACCAACGTCACTTCACCATCAGACACACACTCTCTTTCAAACTATATATTATCAATACATTAATGAGAGTGTACTGACCTTGTGTGTTTTTGCCTCTCTGCAGAAATACACATTCGTAGCACTAATGACAGACATCCTGTATATTGAGGTGAAGGACAAATTCGCAAAAAGCCGACCAATCATCAAACGCTTCCTCGGTCAGCTCACTATCCCTGTGCAGCGGCTTATAGAAAAAATACCTGGGTAGGTGACAAACATGTAAACATGAGTTTACACACACACACACACACACACACAAACAGAACATACTCTATAAATCATTTGATGTGTTTAATGTCAGATCCCTCTGTGGTGTTTTCCTCTCTGTTTGGTGTCCAGTGTTCAGCCTGTCAGTTTCTCTTTGTGTCGGCGCCTGCCCACTGAACACGTAAGCGGCCAGTTGCAGTTCAAAGTGGAGCTCACCTCAACCGGGCCTGACGGTAAATCCGCATTTAGGTTGTATTTGCATTTTCTATATAAAATATATTTGTTTTCATAAACGTGCAAACCTGTTCTGCCTCCTGCAGGCGCTTCTCCTGATTCTATCATTGGCATTTCATCCTTGAACGGAGCTCCGGGGACTCCATCTGATGATGAGGACCTGCCACATCACCTTCCGGGGGTGGTTTCTTCAGGCCCCTCCCCTACCGGCTCCCAGGGTTCCCAAGGCATGTGGGAAGGTGCGGCTGCGGCCTGCGTAGAAAAGGACCTGACTCTTGTCGGAGCCGAGGCGAGATACATGGAGCCTGAAAGCTTCTCGGGCCATGAAATGCTCCAGAGGTCATTCAGTGAGGGTCTGGATGCTATTGAGGCCCCCAAGGGTCCTGGTGAAAGACCCCTGGGTGCAGCCTCACCCAAACTGCGCTCTAGCTTCCCCACAAACACAAGGCTCAGCTCTATGTTGCACATAGATTCAGACGAGGATGAAGACAGGTCGGGGGCCAATGACATCTCTCCAGTGCCACTGTCACCGCTGCTGATGAACGGAGAGCCTCTAGATGTCGGCGGTCCCGATGAAGACGATCCATTTCCTGAGCTACAGCAGGAGCCTGAGCAGCTAGAGACCTCAGTGCTTGAAGAGGAGCCCGAGGGTGCATGTGCTTTGGCAGAGGACATGCCCCCTGAGGTGGATGTGGAAGCAGGTCTCGACTTGGAGGATGTTTTGGAGCCAGACGTCTTCTCCGAAGTGGAGGAGGCTCCTTTCACAGAAGCCGTGTCTCATAACACTTTGCCAGAAGGTGGAGAGCTGCCTGAGGAAGGAAGGGTCCCTGGCGAGGAACCCTCATCAGAGATCGACACCTGCTCCATGGCAACAGCCGCACAGACGGTCTTCTCATCATCAGAGAGCTGTCCAATCACACTGACCACTGCTGTGGTGAGTTCATTAACCTTATATTCATTATCCTTATCGTCAGTTATTTATAAAATTTTCAGCACAATTTCTCAGATTTTCAGGTGACTTGAAATTGCTTCTTCTGTCCAAATCACTAAATCACATCAGCAGATGTCTGGAAGGAAACCTAAGACTCAAATTCATGTTGATCGTAGAACATCAGTTCTACGAGCGCCATATTAGTTAAATAAGCATCAACAGATTATAATTTGTTTGTGTATTTCATCATTTATTTGGCTACGCCAACATAAATGGTTCCATAACTGGACTGGTACTGGACTGTTGCTACGCAACACATAAACATTTTCCTGACCTGCACAGTGCACACTTGCTTCCCTACTTTGTCTACATGTTACCTCAGGTGTGCGCTGAAGTATCCAGGCTTCTTCCCTTCATCCTCCTCTGATGAACAGACATCGTTTCATTCAAATGTTATTTCTGGAAATATTTTCATCTTTGCAAAGTTTGTTACGATCTAAGAAAGATAACGACCGTTAATGTGACGCTGATCAATGGTTAATAGAACACCTGTGACGCAGAGTGACACATGTAGTTAAAAGTCCCAGTGCTGTTGTACTCTATATCAGCACTCATGGAATGACTCTCGTCCAATCAAATAACTTGGTCGGAACTAACTGTTGTGTAATATATTTTAAGATGTTTTATTTATTTTATTATTTTATTTCTCACCAAAATGCACTGTGTGATGCTGAGTTCATTTCCTTATAATTATACATTCCTCACATTCATGATTGCTCACTATCATCCTTCTTCTTCACTGCCTTTATTGGTGCATTGCTACATTTATTTGTTCATTACTGCCACCAACAGTCAGTTGTGAAACAAATATCAGGATTCTGATTCTGATGTCAGATGTCAAGCAGGTGTGCTTGCACATGTGAACGTACAGTATGTCCTTGTGTTTTTGTACAATACAAGCAAATGGAGTATGGGGTCATAAAAACATTGCTTCATTGTGCTACCAGTGGTCAAAACTCCACTTGGTACCTTTAAACACTATTCTGAATTCATTCACTTAATGAAACAACCATTAATTTCTACTGAAATGTAGGAGCAAGCTAAAATTAAAATCACTTTAAAAGATTTTGATAAATTCTCTCTTATTAATCAGACACAACTGAAATAAATAAACTTGAGCTTAAATGAATGTGCATTAATAATTAGTGCTGTGCAGTATGCAGACTGTACAGTAAACATTTCAGTACCGTGCACTTTACTGATCATTTGCATCTTAAACTAGATGATAAACTTAATTCAGTCCCGGTTCAATGGTTAAATGGTAAATGTTTTTTTTCTCATGATAGCTCATGATATCTGCTTCTTAGTAAAATATGTGCATACTGTTCATCTATATGTAATAAAGGGCAATACAACTGAAACTAGCAAACCTTCTTGTTAGGTTTATTCTGAAACAAATCAAGGTGATCACCTGCAAAACTGCCACTAGGCTGGCACTCAGCATAGTCTGCTCAGATGGTAATGGATGTAACCTAGCTCAGTCTGTTATGCTGTGGCTGAGTGACATTAGTTTCTTCACAGTGCACACATTGTACTGAGAAGCAGTCTCCGCTGGGTCCTAGCCACAGCTGTGTCTGTGTCACACTGCACCATAATACTGTACTGTAGCACCGTCATTCCACTTTCAGTGCAGGGTGTAAAATATGTAGTTTTTATTCAGTCAGTTGGAGATAAATTTTGCGTTTTGTCTGACTTGTCTTGTTCTAGTAGTGAATTTCTACGAACAGAGGTTGAGAGTGGGAACCAGTTTCCATTGGTTTTTGCTACAACTGTTCCATGTTGTTTCCTTTGAGCCGTCGCACCTACGCATCGAATCATATTTACATGAAGTCAAAAGTCTCTCAGCTTTCTTTTGTTGCCTTGGTGATGGAGTGATGTAGCCAGTGCTGCTCATGGTGTTTTTGTGAGCGGCCATTTAGATTAACAGACTTCCTGTACACTGACATTCTGTAGCAGTAGCAGTGCAGATATTTTACTGCGTGTGAATCATCTAGTGAGCTTAAGTTGTGTCACCACCACCTCTAAATTTATTGTCATTTTGTCCATTGCTTTCACTAATCTTTTTTTTTATTTTGTTGGATATTTTTAGGAAGCGGAGGAGGGAGCAGAGACGGCCATTGATCCAGGGGGAGATGTAGTTCCCAGCACCCCACCAACTACTCAAGCTGTAGACGATGAAGGCGGTGGGCAAACTGATGTCACTGAGGCTGAAGGAGAAGCTCCGGCAGCCAGCGGGCAGGAGGAGGTGGAGGAGACTAGTGTAAGGAGGCTCAGCCTTCAGGCTGCAGGGGGCGTGGCTGAAGAACAGGAAGGGGAGGTGACAAAGCCACAGGAGGAGGCGGGGTCTGCGGATTCAGAGCAAGTTACCACAGAAACAGACGGAGAGGATGGTACTCGGTTTAAAGCAACTCGTTGTTCACTTTTTGTTGTAGACATTTTTGTTAACTGAACATCAGTGCCGTTCAAAACATATTTTCACCATTTCCACTAAATTAAAACAAAATCCCTCTGTGTTTTGTGTGTTTTCTGTGCTCAGGTACCCATGTCAACGGCCATCCTGTACGTTCGCTTCCTTCTGTACGTCACGACATCCACCGATACCAACGTGTGGACGAGCCTCTGCCCCCCAGTGAGTGTGTGTGTCTGTATGCACCATACTGTTGGTCTGCTTAATCTGTGTATGCCACCATCTGTGTGTAGTAGCGTGTCTTTGTGTCTGTGTCTGTATCCATGTGTGTCCTTGTCCATATTCGACTGAGCGACCCTAATTAAAGTTACAAACCTTGGACCACAAATGAACCCTAAATCACTCAAAGAATAACGATTGACACAGCAGTGTCTGTGTTGAGTTAAATATTAAGACAATTATCAGATGCATTGCCTTGAAATTTTGTAAAGACATTCATGTTCACCACAGGATGAATTGAAATAACTTTGGTGATCTTCTGACTCTTTCCTTAGTGCGCAGGCCGAAATTTAAATGTGACCATAACTTTAATTAGCAAATGCTAGCTCGCTAACACTCTAAACTAATGTGGTGACCATGGTAAATATTACCTGCTTAACATCAACATGTTAGCATTGTCAATATGAGGATGTTAGCATGCTTATGTTAGCATTTGACTCAGCATCACAGACCTCCTAGCATGGCTGTAGACATTTTGTTAAAGTTCCTCTAGACATGTTTTAAACTCTGTAAAATCCTCTGCTATGATTAATATTTTGTTTAACATGGTTTTCAAACATAAACTGTGAAAAAATTTAAAACTGGGTCTGAAGCTCATCTCCTCTTACTTCCTCATTAAGAAATGTGGCTCAGGTCTTTTGCCCCGCCCACCACCTGCTCCCTCCAGGTGGACAGGTGAAAGAGCAGAGAGTATCAAGATGGTGAGAGGAGGAAACATCAGAGAGACTCAGCCACATGTTTGAGCCTCAGTCAGACCCAGACTCAGATGAGGAGTCTGTTGAGACCAGAACCAGAGACTAGCAGACGGATCAGAGCGGTTAGCGCAGTTAGCATCTTTTGTTTGTTTATGTTGTTTGTTAGCTTGTAACTGGCAGTGGCTGACACAGTGTTAGCGGTTGTGCTAATGCATACTCTCCCTCTCTGTACTGAAAAGGTTTCAGGTTTATCTAGCCCCGCCCTCCGTCCCCTCAAGTTGACAGGATTGGTTCTTTAGGATTGTGACGTATGAAACCCTGGCTGTCTGAATCTATTTTAATGAGACTGTTATTGGTTTAAATGAATCTTGTTATGTGTTTATTATGGATGTATGTTACGTATGTCATTTATTTATATATGGAAAAATCTCCCATATTTTGAAACCTAAATGTTTCCATTGGTTCACTGCAGTTTAAGGTGGAAACACTCAGTCATGGAGTTGACTGATTATTTAACTCATCATTTGTCTTGTTGATATAAAAACATCAAATGGATGTTAACAAGGTTAAACACTAACACTAACCCCACTTCTTTGGAGGGGGTCTTTAGCTAGTTGAGGTAATTTTGTGAATGTGTTTCTGTATAAAATGTGCTGTAAAATAAATAAACAGTAAAACATTTTTGGGTTTGATGACCTGAATATGAAGTATTTCCATGTCTCCAGACAGAGCAGGGTTTCAAAAGCTTTGAGATTGTTCGTTGTTAATGTCATCATCTCTCATCAACTGTTGGCTTGTATTTACATTTACAGTTATGTTCCTCGAGGCATTAAACATTACCTTGTATCCACTTTCAATTGCTTCTCAGACTGGGAGGCTCGTATTGACAGCCATGGGAGGATCTTCTTTGTGGACCACGTCAACAGGACCACAACATGGCAGCGTCCCACCGGACCTCCTGCCCCGCAGGGCCTGACCCGCTCCAACTCCATTCAGCAGATGGAGCAGCTCAACCGCAGGTAGGCTTTGTAAAAATAAAAGTACTTTAATTTCCAACATAGTTTTCTGAATAGTAAATATTTAAAAGTATAGGTATATACTATGCACAGTATCTCACTAAGCCAGGGGTTTATTTTATCCAAAGTGGCTTTTAACAGACTAGAGAAGCAAAACAAAACTTGCGTGCTGACAAAAATGTCCACTCAGACTTATTTTGTTATGTATTCTCTTTTAATGGGACATTGCCTGTGGGTTTCTCTTTGTTTCTCTACATCTTGAGGTTTTTATGAACCTTTGAATAAACACAGGTATACAAAGACTTTGAATAGGAAAGTGCTTCTGTATTATTCTCTATCCATTGAAAATTTTCTATGCAATCTACATGCAATGTTCTAAGTGTAAATTTCTTGTGAAACACTCTATTTTACTATACTCTCCATCACAGATACCAGAGCATCAGGAGGACCATAACCAACAGTGATCGGTCAGAGGAAGCCTCGGTTGACTTGTTACCTGAACCAGAAAGCGATCTAATGCCTCAGTCCATATCTGGTTAGTTTCAACAGTTGTACTACAACAAATACACAAACAGAAAGGAATAGAAGCGCATCTGTTCTGAGAAACAATATTTCTCCAATTAAATGACTGACCTCTTGAAAATAATTCATCTCTTGGAATACTATAATAAGCAATGAGTCTGAAAAAGCTATTATTTTATACACAAAGGTCTCAGAACAGCAGTACTCTACAGAGATGATCAGTGACTAGATGTGCTGTTTGTGCCACAGTCTTATCCGTACACTACACTGCAACGAAACAGATGTCTTATGTTGTCATGAAAGCTGCATACATTAGTGTCTCCTTGTTTCAAAGCTTGACTAGTGTGTATTGATTCTGTTGCAGAATACCGGCGCGAAAGTGCAGTCGCTCACGGCAGCGGCCGCTCGCGCCTCTCCCTGCTGCTCCAGTCGCCCAGCGCCAAGTTCCTGTGCAGCCCCGACTTCTTCACCGTGCTGCATTCAAACCCTGTCAGTCTAAGTTGCTTCACCTCCTCTGTCACCTTTGACCCTGTGCTTCTTTTATGTAAATCTAGCTGCCTGCATGTAAACAGATCACTTGTCCACTCCGTAGTTTGACCCATGAATTTTTGATTTCTCATAACAGTTATTGAATGAGGCACTGACTTCACTACATAGTGCTACAATTCAGTACTGTAACACAGCGAGTGTATGACCCATTACTGTAGTTTAGTACAGGTTACAAATATGCTTAATGAGTTAGACATGAGTGATGATCAGTGAATGCAGTCATTACTTAGAGACAAATTTATCATAGAGATAAATTTATCATAAGTAGACTTTGCCTCCATCTTTCTTTTTCATCAATATAAAATGCAAACAAGCCCCTTTTTAAAACATAATCATACAAATATATTTTCTCACTAGCCTTTAATAGTGTCTGGCTGTACAGATAAACAAAATCTTTGTGCTAAATAACAATAGAAAAAGTCATTCCATATTGAAAAAAAGTTGCCCTGGACACGTGCAGTTCTTTTGAAAGCTGACAAAAAGCCATTTAAAATTTCAGTTGAATAAAAATTCAGAGCCACTCGACAAATTATGGTTGAGATCAATTAGAACAGCAGTGAAAAAAATAAGTCACATATTATAGAAAGATTGTATGTAACACTGATTCTTCATAATGTAAAGTAGCTAACCGACAGACAACGTCTCTGATAATCTATTTAATTCAGATTAGTTTTAATTCAATTCCTGAAACGTTAATGATAAAAATATTGGCTTGAGAAATGTCCTACTGTTCACATTGTCTTCAATCTTGACTGTCTGTCTCCTGTCTCACCGTAATGACCTCACCGCTCCCCCCTCTCTGCCCAGAGTGCCTACCGCATGTTTACGAGCAACACCTGCCTGAAGCACATGATCAGTAAGGTGCGCCGGGACGCTCATTACTTTGAGCGCTACCAGCACAACCGCGACCTCGTCACCTTCCTCAACATGTTCTCCAATAAGCAGCTGGAGCTTCCCCGAGGCTGGGAGATGAAGCACGACCATACTGGGAAGGTGTGTGAGTGTTTGTGACCCCTGACCTAGGATTACCTCAGCCCTGAAGACCATGTGCATCCAGTGATTTTATGATTAGAATCTCTGCTCAGTTCTCCATTAGTTTTCAGCGCAGCTTCACTGCCTGTGAAGATGTGTTTCTGTGTACACATAGTGGAGTTTATCTGTGCATGACTGTGGGTATGTGCACCTCTATGTCCAGCCCTTCTTTGTGGATCACAACTGTCGGTCCACGACCTTCATTGACCCACGGCTGCCCCTCCAGAGTTCTCGCTCGACCGGGCTGCTGGCCCACCGCCAGCATCTGAGCCGCCAGCGCAGCCACAGTGCCGGGGAGGTGAGAGACTACCCCTCACTGCAACACTCCTCACCTGGAGTCAACTTAAGGCTCACACAACGCTGCAATGTTTACAGAAGCCACTGTGAGGGCAAAAAAAATGCTATATAGGTCTCTGCATTGTGGGCATAGACTAAAATAGCAAATCCAGTCACCCGTGTCTTCCAGTCCTTCTAGATCTATCTTTCTTTTCTTTAATCTTTACTAAGGACGCAGCTCGGGGATGGGCGTCCATAAGAAGCAACAACAACAGACAAAAAGAATCCACATATAATCAAACAAAAACATAAAACATGACATCCTATAATGTATATATTCTGCTAATTGATTCTTCTTATGATCATATAAGAAAAAGATATGTACCACATTTTGGGCTGATATTTCTTCCTGGTTCGTTTGCTATCATCTCTTCCAAAGAGCTATGTTGGATTGATAAGCATCCCTCTATCTATTATCATGTTTGTAGTGATATGATTTAGTAGTGATGTGTTATGATTACCATAAACACAATGAACCATAGTTAACGTGATAAACAGCTTTTGTTGCCCTGTTCATCTACAGAACCGGAGTCATTATTAGGTTCAAGTATCTGGTTAAGGTAGTGGACTCTGGATAGGTGTCCTTTCAAGACAACATTGGTGTATTGCACAGTAATGCAGCAGAGACTGTTTTTAAAATGTTCCTCCCTGAGGCATTCTAGTGTTTGTGGGAAAATCTGAGACCTGAGAAAATGACCAAATTTACGTAATAATTCCACAATTTTGCAGTTCACCTGTAATTTGTCTCCTGGGTTTAATTTTCCTGATATATATATAGTCTATGACTATTTGACAGCCGTCTTTAATCTTAAATGCTGAGCTGGTTAAATGTTCATTGTAATGGTATGGATATATCAAGCAAATTCAAATCTCTGTTGATTTTGTTGAGTTGACTTTAATGTCATCCTGGCCTGAGCAGAAACAGCCTGAACAACAGTACATCTATGTCAAAACATATGTGGGCAAACATACTGTCATTATTTTTAAAGGGAGGAGAAAATGGCATTTTGACTGACACCGTCAGATGAAACTGTCTCTGACATCTGCGGAAAACAGGAAAGAAAACAAAAGGACAGAGAGAAATAATCAGACAATGAAAACACATCAGTGACAGCAGTAAAATAAATACTACAGCAAATTAAGAAAGCTATTTTACAGTATATGAGCTCTGCGTTTGCCACATCTCACGACCAAAGAGCAGCAGTGCCCGTTATTTTTCTCACAATTTTACTTTTCTGTTGCCCCAAACAAATACTAATACCTGTTATATTATTGTTATATTACAGCCCTGATCTAGTCATAAAAGTTGAAAAGTTTCACCAAACATCACCAACATTTTTTTCATATTAGGTTTTTGAATTCATATTTATTCCTACATAGCCTCCCTTTTACAAGATGAACACATGCTTGCAAGTGTCGTCCAACAATCAGCAACAGTACAACATCAAGTCGTAGTTAGCATCATCATAATTATTTGTTTGCATCTTAGTGATACCCCAATGAAGTTAAAGATTGTGGTGATGCAGTGTTTTGCACCCCCTCATGATAATTTGCGTTGGGTGTGAATGACCTCCCATGGTATGCTTTGGAAAATGGTTAGCAGAGCTGTAAAGAGATTTATTGGTAATGGGCGAGAACATGCAAAACTAACAGGTATCCAGCAGATGTTGAAGTGGTAGAGATGAGGTCAGGTTTTGGTGATGACTGGCAGGTGGATCAGTCTCAGAACTAGGATGCAACCTGAACCATAGTGCTTCTTTTTGTCACAGGTAGTGGACGACTCTCGCCAAACCAACCCGCCCGTCATGCCCCGCCCCTCCAGCACCTTCAGCGGCTCCAGTCGGAGCCAGTACCACGACGTGGTGCCTGTGGGTGAGTCGGGCAGAGTCGCATGTATACATGCGTAGATATAAGTGTGAACATGCTCAAGACACAGAACGCACATTCCTAAATTCTCTCACTTTATTCTTACAGCCTACAATGACAAGATAGTGGCGTTTCTACGGCAACCCAACATCTTAGAGATACTGCAGGAAAGGCAACCCGAGCTAGCCAGAAACCACTCGCTCAAGTACGTCTCTTAAAGTCTCTCTCTCCCTTCCTATTATTGTCTTTCATTGTTTCCTTTTTCAACCCCCCCACCCCCACCCCGCCACCCCTCTTCCTGTCCAGCCTTGCTCACCTCCAGCACCTCCATTATCATCATCATCAGTCAACCTCAACACACAGTTAACCTTTAATCCTGATGGATTGTGCCAGTTTACCCCCTGACGTTTGTGTGTGTGTGTGTGTGTGTGTGTGTGTGTGTGTGTGTGTGCGCGCGCGCGCAGGGAGAAAGTGCAGTTTATTCGCAGTGAGGGAGTCACTGGGCTGGCTCGTCTCTCTAGTGACGCTGACCTCGTCATGCTGCTTAGGTGAGTCCTGTGTTTGTGTGTGTATGTGTGTGTGTGTGTGTGGGGGGGGGGATTATAACAAGTGGGCCCCACCACTCCCAGTACAAGTCTCAATTCCCATTTTATCCACCTGTGCTAATGCTGTACTGTTGTCTCCAGCTTATTTGAGGAGGAGGTGATGTCATATGTGCCACCGCTACTCCACCCAGGTTACTGCATCTCCTCCCCTCAGAGCTCCCCTGGTAAGTCTCTGTCTCGCTGTGTCTGCATCACCCCAACTGCAGCAGCTTTATTAGCACCTTTTCTGGCCTTTATTAAATTCTTACCTGTTATGACATTCCATGCCTGTCACCATGAGATTTGCTTTACATTGTCTGACTAAATAAAAAAAAGTAATTTCATAGAACCTTCATATATAACATGATGTGAGGCTAAAGTAAAACACAGTACACACTCAAATGAATAAAAAGACCTCACTCGCTTTACTGGAGCAGTTAGTTGTTGAGGGTTAGGGCCGGGTTATGATAGAAAAGAGCCACTCCAGGATCATCAACCCAAGGTGGGGTGAAAATCCAGCAGTCATAGAGATGGGATAGTCACAACATTGTTTAAATACAAGGATAATGGTGCATATTTTCAGGCAGTCTTTAATGGATGGTGTTCATAGTGTTGGATTCAGTTGTTCACCTAAAAAGTGCCACAAAATGGGAAGAATGAGCAAAGAGAGTTTGAGAGAGAAATTCAAACCCTGCTTCAATTGTTGTTGGCCACCTTGCCAGTCACTGTGTGCTTGTTGAATTGTTGGTTTCAGAAAGTTAAAGCTATTTGTAGGTTTTGCTATTGCTACATAGCTAACATTAGCATTAGCGGCTGTTTACTTACTTAGAGTTCAGCATCAAACTTTAAACTTCCTGTACTCACAAAGAAGCGCCAATGTTATCTCTTGTCTCTATCACGTCACTGAAGTTAGCATGCTAACCAGCTACCGGCTCGTCTCGTCACTTTCTGATAGCAACTCACTGAAGCCTCCAATTGCTCCTGAAGAAGTAGTACTGCTAGGATGTATGTCTTAGGAAATGCAATGTTTGCCAAAGCCCTTGTCTAGTGACAATCACCACCAACTTCTCCCAGCAAAAAAAAACAGCAGCGAAAACTTACATACAGCCCCTTTAAACTCAATCATTTTCAGAGCTTGAAAATGTGAGGGGGAAGGGAGTTACCAAAGCTGTTCGACCATCCAACACGCACCTCTGATGGAGTATGCAGCCCCTTCAGATGACTCATTAAGTGAATTCTAGTTGACTTATCCTCATCTAGTCTCCTCATCTCTATTTCAAATACAAATACACACTCACTGATACAGACCTCTTTTCTTCAGCTCATCTGTCACTGCGTATCTTCCTCTGTCTGACCTTCTGTCTACACTCTGCACCTCTTTATGCGGAGCCCTCCTCTAACCTTAAACTGTTCAACCAAATTACAGACATTTACAGACATTTACAGAGGACAGCGGAGATAAAGCTCTGAGCTAGAAACGCAGGTTCTCAGTCTCGGTATTTTTCTCTGAAATGAATGAATGAATAACACTACAACACTGATAGAAAATAACAATCCAGGATTAACCTGCATACAGTACAGGACTCCTCACACATTCTGGCTTTACCCATTTTCTGCCTGGGATCATTGAAATTTTATTTTATTTCAATCTACCTGTATGTGTTTGTCTTTACCTATCTCTGCCCTTGTTTTATTTACTGTTGTGCCTACTGCCTGACTTTTTCTCCCTCCTTTCTCTTTTGTCTGTCTTTCTTTTTTCCCTCTCTCTCACACACATACGTCAGGCACTCAGCGAGCCAACGCCCGTGCTCCTGCTCCCTATAAGCGAGATTTTGAGGCAAAACTGAGGAACTTCTATCGAAAGCTGGAGACCAAGGGTTATGGCCAAGGACCAGGGAAAGTCAAGTATGTTTAAATGTTGCAATTTAAAGAGAGTTGTGCGTGGTTTTCCTTATTTAGCACTGATTTATAGAACAATATAAAAATAGCAATAATACCTATGGCCGGTTCGTTAAAGTTTCTTCATTTACTGTTTTAACTAAAAGGAAATAGGAAGACGAGGAAGGAAGTGATGTCTTTTCAGTAGTAGGTTGGGAAGCAGTAGCAGTGCTAATCGTCTTAAGCATCATCTTGTACAGTCATGTCACTGTTTTAAAATCTCTAAAGGGAATAAAAATCTGTATTTCTGCAAAAAATTTAAAGTCACTTAAACCAGTTCATGAATGTCTTGTTTCAATAGTAAGACTTTATTTGGGCCTGCCAGTACTAAAGGATGTGTTGGTAAATATTTCATATTTTTATTGTTGTCCACACATCCCATGAAAAGATCCAAACAAACAATAAATTCATCCGACTGACAATTATTTTGTGTGTTTCCAAAGCCTGATATGTCTTACTCCTCTGTGCCACAGAGCTCCATTGTTTCCAGAAACTATTAAAAACACATTAGTGAACGACACTGTTGTTCTGGGTGACGTGTTTCTACTTCACCATGAACACACACACTGTGGTTTATTTTGATTCAGTTCTACAAACACTGTCCTGCTGCTGTAATTACTCACTAGAGCACCAAATGTGGATTAATCCGCAGCTAAAAATAGTCCCCAACAAATACACTGTTTATTTCCATTTAAGTAAAGCTTGCTAAAAACTACAGTTCCCAGCTGTTTTAGGAAATTACCGATCCTACAAAAAAAGTGACGTTTTTTTTAAAGATTTACGTCCTTGTTAGGAACCGACCACGTTGTATTGATTTGTGTTTTCATGGGATTTGTTGACATTAAGAAAAATGTAGAATACTGCAAGCCTGTCAGCAGCGTTTTAATATTCATACATAACATAGCATCAACTCTTCCAGTGTTAACACTCTGCATCTACTTCCTGTCATTAGCAGGACTGTTCAACATATCCTTAACTTTAAACCTATAACTGAAGTATTCTCTTCAGCCTGGTTGTAAAATTCAAAAGAATACTCTATTAAATTAACAACTAACATTGTGTGAGTTTATACAAAGTCAAATGACAATATTTCCACCATTGTTCACATCAGGTGTAACTCTACTGTGTGTGTATTTCTGTGTGTGTGTGCTCCCAGGCTGATCATACGCAGGGACCACCTCCTGGAGGATGCCTTCAACCAGATCATGTGTTACTCTCGTAAAGACCTACAGAGGAGTAAACTCTATGTTAGCTTCGTGGGCGAGGACGGGTGAGAGAGACGCATTTCATTCCCCCTGTTCATTTCCTTGTCCTGCTGTAGACAGTGCAAGTGTGAAATGTGTGTATTTGCTGAGTGTAATCGATCCAGGTGAGATTCACTGAGCATTCATTCTTATCTTAAGAGTCACAGCTTATAGTCACACACACACACACGTTTGATAACATCCCAGTAGACCCGCAGTCTTCTGATGAATAAGCAGCTGGAGGAAGTGGGTGGGAAAAAACACACAAAACATTTTAATATCAATAAGCTCGTTACAAGGATGATTGACAGCATCTACGCTGTGTTTTTGTGTTGTGTTTTTATGGAATGACTGATAATAAACCCTTTGTTATCAGTTAATTGTATAATCTTGTTTCCTTTTCTTGTTGTAAATGCACAAGAGCTGATTATTCTGGGGCAGTATCTCTGCTGAAATAACCACCGTTTCTCCAGACTGTGTTTAGACTGGTCCAATATAGAGTATACAGTATACATTGTTCTTTTAAATGCTTTGTGTGACTGCACAGAAGCTCAAGATCATTTACTGCTTCATTCTTCCTACTGACATGTATATACTGTATGTGTGATATTTGTATTTGCAGACTGGACTACAGCGGACCCTCCAGAGAGTTTTTCTTCCTGGTTTCCAGAGAACTGTTCAACCCGTACTACGGCCTGTTTGAATATTCAGCCAACGACACGTACACTGTCCAGATCAGCCCCATGTCTGCCTTCGTAGACAACCACCATGAGTGGTGAGGTTTACCTATGTTTACTGTGTCTATGGAGTCTTATGTTTGTTGAAGCTACACTTGCTGCTGTGCTGACTGTAACGTGTTCAGTCTGTCCGCTCGGGCTGCTGTTGTGTGCTGGTCCCAAAATAGAAGCAATTTGTGGGGTGCTGTGCGGAAATTTGGATCAGCTGTCTGAGGCTCACCAGTCAATTCTGTCTTAGTGACAGTGATTGGATGGACGGGTGGATGGATGGATGATTGGATAGATAGATGATCACACTGATGAATGGAGGGTCAGACAACAAGACCGGAAAATCATAATGTCATAGGCTGGATGAAGAAGATAACACGTCGGCACGATAACGGCTGTTAAACAAAATACAACATGAAACACATCATGGAAGAAACAAGAGCACATAAGCCGGCTAACTTCCACAGTGTTTAAGATTTAAAAAAGAGTAAACCAGCAGGCTTGATCACTTAATCAGAAAAATGATTTGAAGATAATAATCAATCTAGCTGTGGTGCTGGAGCCTGTAATCACCTGTGTTCCCTGTGCTGTGTCTAGGTTTCGCTTCAGTGGGCGTATCCTTGGGCTGGCTCTGGTCCATCAGTACCTGCTGGATGCCTTCTTTACCAGACCCTTCTACAAGGGGCTTCTTCGCATGTGAGTCCCTCAGCCTGCTTCCCTTTGACTTCCCAGGAAATTCCATATAACTTGCATGGCCCCAGCACTTCCAATTAGATCCCCCTCACTAAATGTAAGACCTGAAAATATCAGATTCTCTCAGCCAGCAGCTGGCTCAGTTTCCTCTCAGCAGGGGCAGCATCATTATTAATAGCTTTGTCCAAACCATTTCAAATCCTGCCAAATGTCTGCATTAAGGGTTGGTGCTAGACGACAGATGTTTATGTAATAATAAGGGTTCTAAAAGGAGCTATTTGTAAGTTTTGCTATTGCTACGTAGCTAACGTTAGCATTAACAGCTGTTTACTTACCAGCCTAAAAGTAATGTTGTGAGTTCATCAAACTTCATTCTTTACTCACCGACAGCTGTGGAAAGCAACACCAATGTTAACTCCTGTCTCTATCGCTTAGTTTCTTTTACTGAAGTTAGCATGCTAACCAGCTAGCAGTGTGCCCTGAAGATGTAGCGCTGCTCAGAGGGCGTATTATAACCTCTTGTCTTGTAAATGCAGCAATGGCTGAAGCTCTTGTGATGCAACAATCACCACCACCTGCTACCGGCAAGAAACCACATTCAGTGGCAGAGAAAACTTACTTAACCAACTCACTTAGTCGGCAAACCTCTCTTAGCTCCACTATTGCTGCAGACAAGCATTTATCAAACAAATAGAGATGTATTTTAAATTCTAATATAAATAATATGGTTTATGAATACATCAAATATTTCCTGCTGAATTACAGGGAAATGTTCAGACAATGATTCTATGAGACACCTTGAATTTTTGATTTACTTTAATGGAGCAAAACGCTTCTCACAACTTCAGATCTGGACTAAAATTTCAGCTTTTTTAGTTCTTTCAGTATAAAAGTAATCCAGGTCATAGTTGTCTGTACACACAGTACTTACTTTTTATGGTGCAGATTTAACAAAATGTGAAGAAATGTAAGCTTATAAAACAGCTAACTCATTGTCTCCATGGCAACACTATACTTTCTGTTTACATCACATCACATTCACACCTCTAGGCTATTTAGAGTCACCAATGAATGTTCACCTGCATGTCTTTGGACTGTGGGAGGAAGCCGTAGTCCTCAGAGAAAATCGACATGTAAACTCCACACAGAAAGGCCCCAGTCAGTCGGTGGATTTGAACCCAGAAGCTTCTTGCTGCACCAATGTGAAAATGAAGCCATCGCAAATAATTTCAATTTCGGATAAGATAAGCCTGTAAGTAAAAGGAGTGAAAACCAAACAAAATCTTTCCAACATTCAGAGATTTAATGGGGGATATGTTGGGAACATTCTAGATCAAAGTAAAGACACTGATATTCCAAATGCTGTGCTGTTACCATCATATAACCTGAATTTAGTATAATGCTGAAAGTGCTTTGCTTTATACTTTTATTTATTATCAGTGTGTCTCTGTAAACATATAAACCTCCTCAAAACCAACATGGTGCATCTCAAAACATTTATCTTGAAGTAATAAATCTGAACAAACATCTTTTTTTGCCATGCATCAGCAGTGTGTCATATTTTACTTCTACTTGAGCTACATCTGAGGAAAGCTATCTTATGCTGTTATATATGAAGTAATTGACCTCCAACCTCCCTTCTTACAATGAGCCATGGTTTACGAGCAGGACAACCTTTCAGTACCTCGCTGACCCCGCTGTTAGCTCTGTGTGACCTCCGCCTGTGCTCATGCAGCCCGTGCGACCTGAGTGACCTGGAGTTCCTGGACGAGGAGTTCCACCAGAGCCTTCAGTGGATGAAGGACAATGATATCGAAGACATGCTGGACCTCACCTTCACTGTCAATGAGGAGGTGTTTGGACAGGTAGATGAGAAACTGAACTAAAATAATTCATCTTGCATTTGTGAAATTAGTTGAAACTCAAGTTTCCCTGCCTGCGTGTGACTCTGCAGATCACAGAGAGAGAGCTGAAGCCGGGCGGGGCTGGTATCCCTGTGTCAGAGAAGAACAAGAAGGAGTACATTGAGCGAATGGTCAAGTGGCGTATTGAGAGAGGAGTGGCCCAGCAGACAGAGAGCCTGGTCCGGGGCTTTTATGAGGTACAGCCTGTTTTATCTGTGTTCAGAGATATTACTGAGGTCATGAGCTGCTCTTAAATATGAAGCAAGTGGGATTTTATGGCTTCATAGTGTGACAGGTCTGATGATCAATATCAGTGACGCAGTGTGGTTACATCACTGCATCAGGTGCGGAGAATTCCTGCTTTTTGACCGGTACAAACCCAGGAGTATCCATCTGCGTGTGCGCACACACACACACACACTCACACACACACACACACACACACAGACTCCTGATATCTGGCATTTTCAGTGGTGGATGATGAGGCTTTGAGCGAGTGACCAGTGTCACAATCCATTTCAACTAGGAAGGGTAAAAATACTTGAGATCAAGCCAAAAGAGCAAATGACAAAGCAGAATTGTATCTCAGCGGTACGGTGGCCCAGAGAGCTCAACACACTGCAACTTAGGAAAACACCCAAATAGACAAAACACAAAGATATTCAGAAAACATCTTCATCAATTTGACAACACATGCACCACAAATACACACAACGCAAGCAAATACAGAAGAGTGTTTACAGGGGACATAAAGAAGTGATGAACCCGGCTGGGATGCAATTGCTGTTCAATGTGTTTAACTTCAAAAGTCACAAATCATTGAACAACAAGTGTGTCACACCCTGGTTCATCATTTCTTTGTGTTCCTGTGCTATTTGCAGCACGTTTCTGTATTTGGTTATGTTGTCGGTATTTGCAGCACGCGTGTTGTCAAATTGCAATAGCTGCATGTGTTTTCTCAAGCTGCAGTGTGTTGAGCTCTCAGGGCCAACATACAGAGGACTACACTGTGACATGATATCTGTTTTTATTCTTGTTGGGTAGAAATGAAACAGATGAATTCAAATAGACGGCATAGATTACTTACTAGTATCTGATTGATGCCTGTTATGATCCCAGTGAATTTACAGTACATAGTTATTTACATAATTGACTGGGTGTTTAGATTTTGTGCACTGCTCAGTTGGGATGTGAATGTCAGGGCATGTGTGTCTGCAGTGGTCTGTTCACACTCTGAGTAGCGACAGCTAAACGTGTGTGTAGAGAACACAATTTGCAATTTATAAGTGTAAGAAAATGGATTTTGACATCTGACAGGCCACAGTCCACAGACCACAGTCTGACATGCTGTGAAAGCCCACAGTGGACTGTAATCTGCACTGGTGTTTTTCCTCTTGTTTTTTAAATAACTACTACAAACCCCACCCCTGCTGAAATCCCTAGTCTGGCAGGATGACAGATTACTGGGTCTATGTGGATAACATGTGTGCCTGTGTTAGTTTATAGGCCCTGGTTTGCTAAATAAATCAAATCCCAAATTTACTGTCAACAAACTGATGGAAACTTTTTCCCCAACAATGTTTATCCCTCTGCCATCTGCCTCTCTGTAACTGTGTTGTCTCAAAGCTCTGAAGTGCCTCAAACATCCTGACGTATGTGGGAGGACTGTGATAAATGTACCGTATGTTCACCCATGTGTTCATCCGTTCGCATTTGTGTGTGTGTGTTGGTTAGGTGGTGGATGTGCGACTGGTGTCTGTGTTCGATGCCAGGGAGCTGGAGCTGGTGATTGCAGGCACTGCAGAGATCGACCTGGCAGACTGGAGGAACAACACAGAGTACAGAGGAGGTATGTAAAGCTGGAGGGAGGCAGAGATGGAGATGAACGTGTTCGTGGCACGCTGACAGCGATGTGGGGAAGCTAGCAAAGTCAGTTGCTTACAGTGGGTCTTTTGCTGACATATTTATTCACACCTTGAAGCTGCAAGTGTGCAGCCACTAAACCTCTGTTTTGAGCAGCGAGGGGTCAGACGTGTTGCTCTAGCGAACACTGGTGATAAGTAATCTCTGATGTATTGAAGTATTTCTCTTTCATTGTTTCTCAACCAGTGTGAGGATTCAACTCAGCAGTTTTCCTGACCTCTAGCGAGATGTAAGGAAAAATGAAATAAATGACGACTGTAGATAACCAGCTTCATGCTGAGTCTAAGCACAAATGTCCACTGGATGCAGCTGTTGGACTGCCATACCTGCCAACTCCCAGCACCCTCCTGTTTCAATAAATTTCTCTCAGGAGACTCCCGTAATATGCTCTCTGTGCAGGCTGAGTGTGAATTAATTAATTGTTGTGAAATCAACAAGTTTAACAATTTTATTTTCATGTTCATTAAATGTTTATTTAATGATACATGGCTTGTAACTGGCAGTGGTTCACACATTGTTAGTGATTGTGCTAATGCTAACTCTCTCTCTCTCTGTACTGACAAGGTTTCAGGTTTATTTAGCCCCGCCCTCCGTCCCCACAAGTTGACAGGATTGGTTCCTTAGGTTTGTGACGTATGAAACCCTGGCTGTCTGAATCTGTTTTTATGAGACTGTCATTGGTTTAAATTAATCTTGTTATGCATTTATTATATTATATTATATTATATTATATTATATTATGTATATTATGTATGTCATTTATTTATTTACCAAAAAATCTCCCATATTTATAAACCTAGATGTTGGCAGGTATGTGACTGATCCCCTGTCACTGCAGACAAAGTGCCAGTGAACTTTAGGGTTCACTTATTCCTACAACATATAGTCCTAAATGTAACATAATCAGAGTTTTGATGTTTCTGATGTGTAAAAAAGTATGAATCCCTGGTATTATTGGTGTTATTTTTTACTTACTCAACAGGCAGCACATATTATTGTTATTTTTTTATGGTACTTCCATTTATTTAAATTTGAAAATGTACAAACAATCAGATATACCATTTTGTAAAAATAAAACAACATAAAACTTCAACAAGCACTTCTTGTTTGTTACAAATTTGAGAGACTGAAAGTAACGTTCAATTTCAATTCAAAATTTTGATTTCAGAATATGAAATTTCCCTACTAAAATCAGGAGGTGAATATTTCCATTTCCTATTTAATCAGTGTATCAGGCTTCACTGTAATGTACTGTATAACGAGCACTGGAAACTTTGGGGAGTTACTGCTATTTAATTATTGTAATACATGTTGTGTACAGTACTCGGATGCAAGCGCCAGTGTCCAGAGCATTTATAAGAGATCACATTAAAGGGCTTTTTAAGGGTCTGGCCAATACAGTTGAAAAGCCGCCAGCAGCAGGGACTCAAGTGAACTCAAACTGACAATCAGCCACGACTCAGTGTGAGGCTCTTTTAATAGAGGGATCGACTGAGACGGACAAAACGGCTCCGGCCATTAAACATTAAACAGCAGAGCCCATTCAAACATCACCATGGAGGAATAGTGGGGTCGGAGGCTGGAGAGAGGGGATGAGCAGGGGACAGAGATCTTATTTTCTTATTTGTTATTCATCTGACTCATGCACCATCATCATCTACCTCTAACCCCCCCCCCCTTTCCTCTTTCCTTCAGGTTACCATGACAACCACATAGTGATTCGCTGGTTCTGGGCGGCTGTGGAGAGATTCAACAATGAGCAGAGGCTGAGGCTGCTGCAGGTAGGGCACGTGGGTGAGCGCATGCACACAGGCTGCCCCCGTGTGGAGGACGGGGGCCCTGCAGGCGCTGCAGAGCCATGCTGCATATCACAGGCTGTGAAACCTTCATATGACAGTGCACTAGCTTTTAGCTTGGTGATGGGCTTGAGACTCGATGTTAGCTTGATTTCTGTTATCAAATTTAAGTGTTAGCAATTGTCTGTTTTCCTTTGTTTTCTTGTTAAATTTAGAATAATATATGGAGCTAAGAAGACGCATTTCTATATCTATTTTAAGTGATGAATAATGACAATGTTTCAGGATGCTGTTTCCATTCTTCTTGTGACTTTTGTTGTCTTCCTGTCTCTAGTTTGTGACAGGCACCTCCAGTATTCCCTATGAGGGCTTTGCCTCTCTGCGGGGCAGTAATGGACCCCGCAGGTTCTGTGTGGAGAAGTGGGGAAAAATCACCTCCTTACCCAGGTAGGATCACTGTCTCATGGGATAGATCACACAAGTAATGGGATAAATATTTTAGCAAACACAGAAAAAAATCATTTTACATGGATGTAAGTGACTAAATATTTCTCTACTATCCAACTCTAACTGGTCATATAAAGCCTGTTGGCTTATAATCAGACACCTGACCTCTTTCAAATGAAGCATCATCTGATCTAATTTCTATTCTTTTTATGTTATTTAGAATCAAGGGGTGGGGTGGAAATATGATTCTCAAAAACTGTCACATTACTTTGATTTCTTAATTCAGTGGGTGCAATTACCTCTTTTGAGCTGATCTTGACTTAAAAGAACCGAATTAATGAAAAATTTGGTTTAGGTTATGGTGATGGTGAAATAAGTTGTGCCAGCTCAACTGGCATTTTAGGGGGAGGGTTCAAATAAAACATTAAAGGTCCCATATAGTATAAAGGCAGATGTCCATGTGTTGTTTGATTATAAAGCAGGTCTAGGTTCTATATTAATACCGTGAAAGTATCAAAGACAGGCTCAGAGCCTCCTCTCTTCTGATTGGCTCACTGACCTGTTGTTACTAGAGCTCCAGAGAGAAGCCTGAGAGAGGAGAGGTAAAACTACACTGAGATGGTTTTTGGTTCTTAAAACCACAAATATATCTTCTGATGGATCAACACTTCAAATAAAACACAAGGAGAAAAAGAAAATATGGAGCTTTAATAATGCCTGAAAGATGCTAGGAAGGGGTGTGGTTTTTGTTTAAAGACTGATCTCTCACAGATTAGTCATCTTGACATCTCATAATCTCTTTGTTGTTTATGTGTGTCCACAGGGCTCACACTTGCTTTAATCGTCTGGACCTCCCACCTTACCCCTCCTTCTCCATGCTCTATGAGAAGCTGGTCACTGCTGTCGAGGAAACGAGCACGTTCGGTTTGGAATAACCTCAAAAGCAGCTCACACCCAGGTGTAACTCAAGACGGGAGAACCATCTGGAAATCCACCTTTCTCGCTTTGGGAGGGACATGGGAAATAAAACTAATATCCTCAAATGGCAACTACCCACCTGTGGAGAACTCTGCTGTTTTTTTCCAACTAGCTTTTTGACACTCAGCACGCAGGATTCATTCCAGTTCTCTGCTTTTCTCTCACGTTTCTGGCAGAGATCAATCAAGTGAACACCTTCTGGAAGAAAGGCGGAGAATTGGAGAATAGCTTCA